TGAACAGATTTAAATTTGAAATCATTGAACGATGACGACGACGATGTTAACAGCGCCACAAATGCCAAGAAAGAAGCAGAGATAAAAAATTTTACTTGTCTAAAAATCAAATCTTTTTGGCAATTAAAAGATTTGAAAAAATTAAACAAAAAGAGGAACGAAAAAAAGTGTTACAGATAGACGAATCGATGACGACAAAAACCATTTTGAAGAAGTTGAATAGTAAGAAGTATAACAGATTTATATATGTATATATTCGTGCATTTGTCGCTTAAAGACGATGCTTCCCTCAAATGTTGGTACAAAATGAAAGAGTGGAAAAAAGAAATAATTTTCTTGACATATGTTCATGCAAAAAAAACTTGTATTTCTTCTTTAAGCTTATCAGTATTGCAAAAAAAAATCCGAAAAAAGCAAAATAGCAGAAAAAAACAGCAAAGAAAAGAAAGACGAAAACCTTTTGCTTCTTTCCCTTTTCTTCCCTCTTTTCGGTGAATTTTCCTAAAAACTTAACAACAACAACAAAAAGAAGTTGAAAGTCAAAACTAAAATAAATCATTGATCAGGAGAAAAAAACCAACACAGACTGTGCTTAACAAGTCACATAATTGTTTATGTATATTTGCATATTTATGAATGAATAGTCAACCGATGAGAACAAATTAATACAGCAAAATTTTTTTTTCCTTCTTCGTCATCTTTGGTAATTGTTTGAAAACTAAAAAAAAAGATGAAAAGAAAGGTGAGAGAAAAACAGAGTTAATAAAATTGGTGACATTGTTTAAAAAAAAGCCGCAGATTAATATGCAGCTGTGAAATTCAGATTTTTATCCACAAAAAAGTAGAATTTGAATCTATTTTACTCCTGAAAACAACAAAACTTTCTTTTTCAACTTTTTCTTCGTCAATATTTCGCAATTACAATACTTCCAATTACAGTACAAAAAATTAAATCAGCTGTTCTCCATTTATTTCTCTAAACTCTTCTTAAAATAAAGAATTAATCGTCAAGTGAAACTAAGTTTAAAATTGTGAAGATAAGAATGATAAATAGAAGTGATAATAACAAAAATCAAAAATCAATTTGCAAAACTACCAAAAGAGACTGTTTGACTTCTCATTTAGAAAACAATAGTGTTTTTGACTAAAAAATTGGAAAATTGAAAAAGACTTTAACTTTGATAATATCAAAACTAAACAAAAAATAAATAAATAAAAAGTATTTTTTTTCTTTAGAGAATAAGGCACCACTGTTCTCAGGTTTCTTTCCTTATGTATTCTCTTTTCATCTCTCCAAAAATAAACTGAAACCACAAACTGAACGTTTAATAAAAAAAACTTCTTTTTGCTCTTTTTTTTTTT